CATCATGGCCCTCTTGTTTATTTACAGCAAACACAGATCTTTACGTACTACACCACGCTGGTCATTAAATTTAATCCTTGCCTCTGGGCAAATCTGTCGATAATTTATTGCAAATAACACATTTATGTGACATGATAGGCAGCTCAATTGAACCCTGTCCCTAAAATTCGCAGACGTAAATATCACATAATTTCTATGACACGACTGCCACGTTTTAATCAGCCAGTTACAGAAATTACACGCAACTTCACATCTACAGTGTAAATCTATATGCATATACATTATTACAAGTAAATGGAACGAGTATGTACGGATCTAAAAAAATAACAAAGTCGGCCGCATTTTTTATGTTTATGGAATAGAAGTCGTACAAATACAGAATAAAATTCATGTAAACTGGACCATTAACAAACTTGTTAAAATGCAATAAAAGAATTAACTAGTCATCTTTTGTTATGATCGGTATTTTTTATTGTGTTTATGCCACCGCAGCATCTGCGATGCGGTGGCATATAGCGATTCACCTGTGTGTATGTATGTGTGTGTGTTTGTTTGTTTGTTTGTTTGTGTGTGTGTGTGTGTTATATAGATTATATAGTGAACTTAAAAAATCTTCTTGTGAAAAACCACTAGTCCAATTTCAACCAAACTTGGCAGGATTGATCCTTGGGTGAAGGGCTTCCAAAGTTGTTCAAAGAATTTCATTCCATGCAGAAATCTGGTTGCCATGGCAACCAAAAGGAATTATAAGAATAAATTTAAAAAATCTCCTTGTAAAGATCCAAAAGGCCTAGAGCTTAGATATTTTGCATAAGGCATTGTCTGGTAGACCTCTACCAAGATTGTTCAAATTATAGCCCTGGGGTCAAAATCGGCCCCGCCCCGGGGGTCATTGATTTTCACTATATATACATAAAATACCTTCCTGTAAAGACCCTAAAGGCCTAGAGCTTAGATATTTTGCATAAGGCATTGTCTGGTAGAAATCTACCAAGATTGTTCAAATTATAGCCCTGGGGTCAAAATCGGCCCTGTCCCGGGGGTTATTGATTTTCACTATATGTACATATAGTAAAAACTTAAAATCCTTCTTGTAAAGACCAAAACAGCCTAGAGCTTAGATATTTTGCATAAGGCATTGTCTGGTAGACCTCTACCCAAATTGTTCAAATTATAGCCCTGGGGTCAAAATCGGCCCCGCCCCGGGGGTCATTGGTTTTCCTTATATGTATATAGTAAAAACTTAAAAAAAAATTCTTCTAGCAATTGACAAATGATAGAGGTTAGATATTTTGCATGAAACATTGTGAAGTGAACTTCTAGCAAGATTGTTCAAATTATAGCCCTTGGGTGAAAATTGCCCCCACCCCGGGGGTCATTAATTTTCAATAATTTTATATACATATAGTAGAAAATCAAAAAAATCTTATTGTCTGAAGGTACAAGGCCTAGAGCTTTAATATTTGTTAAATGATATCATCTATAGGTACTCTACCAAAGTTGTTCAAATTTTGCCTCTAGTGTCAAAATTAGCCCTGCCCCGGGGGCCATAGGTTTTCCTTATATGTATTTTGTAAAAACTTTAAAAAATCATCTTCTCTAAATTTACAAAGTCTAGAGTTAAGATATTTTTCATGAAACATTATGTATTGAACCTCTAGCAAGATTATAGCCCTGGGGTCAAAATTGGCCTGGCCCCACCCCCCAGGGGTCATTGATTTTCACTATGTACATATAGTAAAAAAATAAAAAATCTTCTTGTCTGAAGGTACAAGGCTTAGAGCTTTGATATTTTGTATATAATATCATCTATAGGTCCTCTACTAAAGTTGTTTTAATTATGCCCCTAGTGTTAAAATTGCCCTGCCCCAGAGGCCATAGTTTTCCTCATATGTATAAAGTAAAAACTTGAAAAATCTTCTTCTCTGAATTGAAAAATCTTCTTCTCTGAATTGACAAAGGCTAGAGGTTAAATATATGGCATGAGACTTTGTGAAGTGAACCTTTACAAAGATTGTTCAAATTATAGCCCTGGGGTCAAAATTGGTCCCTCCCCAGGGGTCATTGATTTTCATTATGTACATATAGTAAAAAAATAAAAAAATATTTTTGTCTGAAGGTACAAGGCATAGAGCTTTGATGTTAGCTATATAATATCATCTTTTTTTTTTTTTTAATGCGTTTATTTAAGGTCGCCGCCGGAAAGCCCATATGGGCGACCGTACACTCAAGTCGGGCCATCCTAGAGCGTCCCGCCGAGATTTTTTCGTCGATTTTTTCCAGCTTTATTGGTGGAGGAAGACCCCCAAGTGCCCCTTCGGGCATTGTTTCAGGCATGAGCGGGCACCTGGGTAGAACCACTGACCTTCCGTAAGCCAGCTGGATGGCTTCCTCACATGAAAGATTTCGACCCGAGTGAGGATCGAACCTACAGCGGTGAGGGACCTGTGATCTTAAGTCAACGACCTTAACCACTCGGCCACGGAGGCCCCCAAAATCATCTATAGGTGCTCTACCAAAGTTGTTCAAATTTTTCCCCTGGTGTCAAAATTGGCCCTGCCCCGGGGCAGTGATTCTCATTATGTACACATAGTAAAAACAGAAAATATAACAAATGTTTTCTGAATGGGAGAAAGCTACAACTTAGATATTTGACTTGAAATGTTGTTTGGTGGACTGTATCAAGATTGTTTTGAATTAAATCCTTGGGTCCAAAATTTTGCCTTGCCCAAGGGGACAATTTTAACCATGTGCACAGTTTTAGTTGTAAAATTGAACTTTGATATCAGGTGACCTAGATTTTGATGATGTGACCTACTTTCTTGTCCTTTGATGTACAGCTATGAAATTTGAACCATGTGCACAGATTAGGATGTAAAGTGAACTTTGATTTCAGCTGACCTAGATTTTTACAAAGTGTCTTACTGTGTTGCATTTGATGTAGTCATGAAATTTAGGCTGTGTGAAATATGACCTTCACCACCTAATTCACTAGACTCGAGTGCATTGATATATTCCTACTCTGATCTTTTATTGAGTTAACAACAGATTTAACCACTAATCTGATATTAAGAATTAGATAGGTCAGAGATCTATGCATTATGACAATCTTCAAAATTGTATAGAAACAAAAAGAATCTGTTCCTACACTACTACTAGTATTTAGTGTTGTATTAATGCGGTGGCATAGCATTTTTCTCAAATGCAATCTTGTTTGTTTTTTAAAATACAACATTAATATCAAAGTCAATTAGATTGGTAATTAAAAAGTGCAAACTGACAATTTTTATCGGCGCTAATTAATGCCCCATATTTACTTGATTATCTCAAGTATATTTTCTGACACAATCAAGTAGCCTATAACAATCAAGTAGTCCCTGTGATGTGTTTATGTGATCGAGATTTGTGACATATATATAGGGGGCCTAATCGACTTTTCTCTGAAGTTTCTTAAATATTGTAAACTTGAACTATTTATAGATATAACCTGCCACTAAGCTGATTATCTGTATACATTCATTATCCAAAAATCGGCAGGAAAAGCGCCGACGCATGATTTTAATATACAGAATAGAGACATGGTGTAATAAAATTTCGTGGGATCTTAAATTCGTGGATTGACCTACCCACGAACACCACGAAAATTCGTGCCCCACGAATAATAGTGATTTTGCAGTATATGAAAAAAAAACTTATTATCATTTGCACTGTTTCAGATATAAATGTTATGATGTCAGTTTAAGTTTATGGCATTATATCTGCCTTTCATTCATTGCTAACAATATTGAGGCTTGAGAGCCTCAATAATCAGGTGAGCAATATAAGGCCATCATGGCCCTCTTGTTTCACAAATGCAATCTTGTTACAGTGATGGAATACTGGCCTATGTAGCTGTGCCTTAGAGAAGCGTAGTGTCACTGGAACATTTTACTGTGACCATGTTCTCATTGTTGTACTTAATCACTTCATTACAAAAAACCCAAGGTCTGGTGTAGGATCAAATTACTCCATAGTAATGCACTTGCACACTGGACAGCCTTGGCTCAAGCTTATTTAGAGGAACAGAGAATTGAGGTTTTGCTACATCCCGCTTATAGTCCTCACCTCTGTCCTTGTGACTTTTAGTTAAATCCATACATCAAATCTTGTCTTAGCAGTTGACTGTTTGAAACTGTAGTGGTGTGAGAAGTGCTGTCTACCAGTGTACAAAGGTTGTTCAAAGTTTGTGGCCTGCGGCTCTACTGTTAACATCTTTTAAGTTGTGTACATGATTTTACAAGAGACAAATATTGCAACATTTCCTTTATATATATACATATACTGAAAAATCAATGCAATATGTTTACAAATAATTCTGTGAAAATTACAAATAACAAGGGGTACGCAACCAGGTGCACACACATAAAACAACAGAATCAAGTTCATGACGTCACAATGTAAATGAAAAATGTCACCAGTATCAATGTTGTTTTTATGTGTACCTTCAGTGCTTGGGTCAGAATCAACCAACTTTACAGGAATGATAATCAACATCACTGTGAACCTAAGCACCAGTCCTGGTGTTTTGCATGTGGATTTTTTTCAGTTTTGTTAGAGTTATTGCCCTTGACTTAGTATAAATTATAGACTTGTTCATGCATAGCTCAAAAAGTATTTGACCTGTAGTCCTGAAAACATACAAGAATGTTGGTCAGCATGTGTAGTTATGCACCTTGGGGTTTGCTTGTGGATTTATACAGTATTTGTAGAGTTTTTGTCATTGACTTAGTAAAAGATTTTTTTGTTTGTTTTAAACTTGTGTTACGTGTAGCCTAAAAAAAACATTTCACCTAGAGTTAAATCATGTCCTATGGACTCATTTCTTGTTCACAGGTAAGATTTAATTATTAAAACGCACTGCCATTGCCACTAATTAAAATTTCCCCATTGTACTTATGACATGTCTGAATATTATAAAATTGCAAACAAGTTATATGGTATTCCCATAAAAATTTTTACAGGAGAAGTCCTGTATCAGTGGCCGCAGCAGCTATTTACATGGCATCACAGGCATCAGAGGATAAGAAAACACAAAAAGGTATATTGTATTTCAAGGCATTTTAAATATTGACATTATTTGTTTTGGACATTACTATACCCCCACCACAAAATGTGGGGCTGGGGCTATAATGGATTCGCTTTGTCGTGTCTGTCGGTCCGTCCGTCCCCATTATCATGTCCGCTCTATCTATACCAATTTAAGGATTTTCTTCAAACTTGGCTCAAATGTTCACCTCAACAAGGGAGGTGTGCAGAACCCATGTTGCCCATGTGTCAGCTCAAGGTCAAGGTCACAATTGAAGGTCAAATATCAAACAATCAAATATTAGACAGTATGTCGTGTCCGCTCTGTAAGTCCTTCTCTAATGGAATGATTTTCTTCAATCTTGGATCAAATGTTCACTTCAACAAGGTAATGTGCAGAACCCATGTTACCATTTTGCCAGCTTAAGGTTAAGGTCACACTTGAAGGTCAAAAATTGACTTAGAAAATATTCTTAAATTTTGATTTCTATGTCTAGCTCGAATATGGGTCATATGTGGTCAAAAACTAGGTCACACAGCCAAAATAAAATGGGATTGAGCCTTCATAATCATGTGAGCAATCAGCTCATTATAAATAGAGTTATGTCCCTTTTTGTAAGCAATTTTATGTGAAACTATTGGTTGCATCAACTTTCGAAGGATTTCAATGATTGTGTTTATATTTGGCATTTAAAAATGTTGTATCTTAACACAAGTCAAAGTTCATTTGCGCTGCAATAAACACATTATTAATTTCAGTCATATACCCCTATTTTTAGCTCACCTGAGCACAGAGTGCTCAAGGTGAGCTTTTGAGATCACAGCTTGTACAGCGTTCATCAACTGTCAATGCAACCATTTATCTGTTGTCATTTTTTAGCTCACCTGTCACAAAGTGACATGGTGAGCTTTTGTGATCGCTTTTCAGCCGGCATCGGTAAACTTTTACTTTAAACTACATCTCCTCATAAACCGCTGAGCCAATTTCATCCAAACTTCACAGGAATGTTCCTTTGGTGGTCACCTTTAAAAATTGTTCAAAGAATTTAATTCCATGCAGAAATCTGGTTGCCATGGCAAGCAAAAGAAAAAACTTCTTTTAAAAAACCCAAAGAGCTAGAGCTAAGATATTTGGCATGAAACATCTTCTAGTGATTCTCTACCATGTTTGTTCAAATAAAAGCCCTGGGGTCAAAATTGGCCCAGCCCCAGGGTGTCATTTTTTCCATATACATGTATGTTTATATATATATGACATTATTTCCCTACATGTATATACATGTTGTAAAACCTTAAAAAATCTTCTTTTAAAAAACCCAAAGAGTTGGATCTTAGATATTAAGCATGAAACATCTTCTGGTAAATGTCTACAAAGTTTGTACAAATAAAAGCCCTGGGATCAATATTGGCCCTGCCCCGGGGGTACTGATTTTCTTATATGTAAAATTTAAAAAAATCTTCTTTTAAATAACCCATACAGCTAGAGCTTAGATATTAAGCATGAAACATCTTCTAGTGACTGTCTACCAGATTTGTTCAAATAAAAGCCCTAGGGTTAAATTGACCACACCCAGGGAGTCTGATTTTTTTCCTTACATGTCTATAGAAAAAACTTAAAAAATCTTCTTTAAAAAAACCTCAAAGAGCAAGAGCTTAGATATTAAGCATGAAAGATCTTCAAATGGATGTTCACAAAGTTTGTTCGAATAAAAGCCCTAGGGTCAAAATTAGCCCCGCCCCAGGGGGTCATTGATTTTCCTTATATATACATGTATATAGTTAAAACTTAAAGATTCTTCTTATGAAAATCCAAAAGAGCTAGAGCTTAGATATTTTGCATAAAACATCTTCTAGTGGATGTCTACCAAGTTTGTTCAAATGAAAGCCCTAGGGTCAAAATTGGCCGGCCCCAGGGGTCATTGATTTTCCTTATATGTAATGTAAATCCTGTATTTTTCGCGATGTTTTGATTTTCGCTATTTCTTCTGGGGTGAAAGGGGCTCAACTTAAACCTATTTACCTATTTCTTAGGTGAGTGATCCAGGGCCCTCTGGGCCCTCTTGTTTTCAAACAACTTCACCTCTGAAATAACTGGGTCAAATTTTAAAATTTCCTGGCATGTTCCTAATATGATGCTGTACTAAAATTTTCGAATGGCTCTGCTCCATTGAACATCTGGGTCAGAAGGGCTAAAAATAGATTTTAAAAATTATGTCTTGAAAATCTTCTTCTCTAAAAGTGCTTGGTTTACAGCTTAGATATTTTGTGAGTTGCATCATCTAATGAAACTACAAAAATTGTTCAAACTATTGTCCTGGACTCAATATTGAGCCGGCCCAAAGGGGGTATGGCTTTTCCTTGTATAGTAAATACTTCAAAAATCTTCATAAAAACTGAAATGGCTATATGTTAGATATTAAGCATAAAACATTGTCTCAATTGTTCAAATTATAGACCTTGTGTCAGAACTGGCCCTCCTCGGCGGTTATGCATTTACCTTATATGTATGTAGTAAAAACTTAAAAAATAATTTTTTTCTTAAACAATTAAAACTTAATATAAGATATGATATTTGGCTTGAGACATTGTCTGGTGGACCTCTACCAAGTTTGTTCAAATTATAGCCCTGAGTGTCTAAATTAGCCCCTATCCAGGGTGGTATGAATTTTCCTTATATGTATAATTATATTAAATTCTTCATTTCAATAATGGCTAAAGTTTTGATATTTTGACTGAAACATTGTGTAATGGACCAAATTTGTTCAAAATATAGTCCTGGGGTCTAAATTGGTTTTCATCCCGGGGGTGAGGGTCATGGATTTTCCCTGTAGGTGTACACCATCAAGACTAGAAGTGGCATAAAACATTGTGCAGTGGACAGTTACCAAGTTTATTATACCCCCAAAAACGAAGTTTTGGGGGGGGGGGTATATAGGAGTCACCCGGTGGTTGGTCGGTCGGGCGGTCGGTCGGTCCAGACGTCCGTTGCATTTTCCTTGTCCGGAGAATAACTTGAAGACTAATGGTTGGAATTCAATATAACTACATACAATGGTCAAGCACATTGAGAGGAAGTGCAGTGCACAAGAACCATAACTCTATCTTGACTAATTACAGAGTTATTGCCCTTTGTTACTTTTCCTTGTCCGGGGCATAACTTGAAAACTACTAGTTGGAATTCAAAACAACTTCATACAATTGTCAAACACAATAAGGGGAAGTGCAGTGCACAAGAACCATAACTCTATCTAAAGTAATTACAGAGTTATTGCCCTTTTTTGCTTGTCCATTGCTTTTTTTTTTGTCCGGACCATAACTTGAAGACTAATAGTTTGAATTCAATATAACTACATACAATGGTCAAGCACATTGAGAGGAAGTGCAGTGCGTAAGAACCATAACTCTATCTTGACTAATTACAGAGTTATTGCCCTTTGTTACTTTTCCTTGTCCGGGGCATAACTTGAAAACTACTGGTTGGAATTCAAAACAACTTCATACAATTGTCAAACACAATAAGGGAAGTGCAGTGCACAAGAACCATAACTCTATCTAAAGTAATTACAGAGTTATTGCCCTTTGTCGTTTTTCCATTGCTTTTTTTTTGTCCGGACCATAACTTGAAGACTAATAGTTTGAATTCAATATTACTACATACAATGGTCAAGCACATTGAGAGGAAGTGCAGTGCGTAAGAACCATAACTCTATCATGACTAATTACAGAGTTATTGCCCTTTGTTACTTTTCCTTGTCCAGGGCATAACTTGAAAACTACTGGTTGGAATTCAAAACAACCTCATACAATTGTCAAACACAATAAGGGGAAGTGCAATGCACAAGAACCATAACTCTATCTAAAGTAATTACAGAGTTATTGCCCTTTGTTGCTTTTCCATTGCCTTTTTTGTCCTGACCATGACTTGAAGACTAATGGTTGGAATTCAATATAACTTCATATAATGGTCAAGCACATTGAGAGAAAGTGCAGTGCACAAGAACCATAACTCCATCTTGACTAATTACAGAGTTATTGCCCTTTGTTACTTTTCCTTGTCCAGAGCATAACTTGAAAACTACTGTTTGGAATTCAGTACAACTTCGTACAGTTGTCAAGGACATTAAAAGGAAGTGCAGTGCACAACAGCCATAACTTCATTTTGACAAAGTACAGAGTTACTGCCCTTTGACACTTTTCCTTGTCAGGAGCATAACTTAAAACGTACTGGTTGGAATTCAAAACAACTTCATACAATGGTCAAGCACAATAAGAGGAAGTGCAGTGCACAAGAACTATAACTCTATCTTCAGTATTTATAGAATTATTGCCCTTTGTTCCTTTTCTTTGTCTTTCTGGACTTATTACAGAGTAATTCAATTAAACTTCATCAATGGCCCACCACATTGAAAGGTAATGCAACATATAAGAACCACAACTATCTTTAATTGCCCACAACCATTACTCTATATTTCAATTCTTTTACAAGGTATTCTGTTACTAGTAACATCCTTATTTCCGAAGCAGTCTTGTGGGGGTATTAATCACATTTAGTGATAGTTCTAGTTAAATTTACATTTTCAACAAACTATCCAATCACCCCTCAATTGTAACAACTGCTTAAGTTGCTATCATCAGGCAACACTTGTGATCACTGATCGCTCTAGTTTTGGCATGAGGCAACAATGACATTATTAGTTTCTAGTGACATATTTCTGGTATTCTCTTATAGGGATATGATAATGGTATGATTTATTTCTAATTATCAAACATTCATTTCAACATTTATATTCAATTACAGAAATAGGAGACATCGCAGGTGTTGCTGAAGTTACAATAAGACAGGCATACAAACTCATGTACCCTAAAGCCCATGAACTATTTCCAGAGGATTTCAAGTTTGCCACACCTATAGAACAGCTACCTACACAGTGATCAGAGGAGAAACAATGTTAATTTGTTCGGGAAATAATTGTTATCATTTGTCAATAGCATATTATTAAGGACAACTAAAAAGCTATTTAGATAGCTTTATTCTTTCAAATATTTATAGTTTGTTTCTAGTAAAAAACAACACAAAACACCTAACTATTTTCTTTCTTTTCAGATATTTTCATTGCTGTAACATTTAGAGTTCATAATATTTAGTATTGTCTTTTTTAAAATGAATTTATTGGAATGACTAAAATAAACTTGACAGTGAATTTTCAGTGTATTATCTCTCACTTATGCCATCCTTTGATTTTTAGATTGACTTTTTTTGAAGAAAAAAAAGAGGTATTGTTATAGTCATGGTGGCATTGCCGGCCATAGACAATAACGTTGATCATAACCTTTTAAGTTCTTGATATAGTACCTTCATACTGGCCTCCGTGGTCGAGGGGTTAGAGTCGATGACTTCTAATCCAGTTACCTCTCTGGCGCGGGTTCGCTCCCAGGGAGATGCTTTGGTAGTTTAGCGCGGAGGAAGGTAGTCTAGTACTGGTGTAACTCTCCAGGAACGATGGTTAGAAAACTACCCGCCTATATGACTGAAATACTGTTTGGAAAAGGCGTAAAATCAAACAAACAAACAAACAAACTTGGCCACAACAACCCTTGGGAGAAGACATTCAAGGACAAATGTCTAAATTTTGCTTGGGTTTTTTTATGCTCCCCAAGGGCATAAAGTCGCAACTTTGTCCCTCTATATGTCTGTATATGTCCGTCCATCCGCATTTTGTTGTTCGGGACATTACTCTAAAACTACAACAGAGAAACTTTGTAGTTGGAAGGATCTCATTAAGTAGAAGTGCAGTGTATATGAACTGTAACTCTGCCTTGCCTAATTTTGGAGTTATTTCCTTTTTAAGCTTGACTTTAAAAAAAAAAAATGAAAATAAAATAGAAATATGGTTAGTCATGTTGGCGTTCCTGTTGCTGTCTGCAATCTTTAACCTTGATCATACCTTTTAAAGTTTTTGGTGTATTGTCTTCATACTGGGCAATAACAACCCTTGGCAAGTAGACCAGACTAAGCTTGACCTTCATTCATAAATGACCTTGACCTTCAAGTTTAAATGTCTAAATTTTGCTTGACTTTTGCTATAAGTGGCTATAACTTTGGTTTTTATAAATGGATTGTCTTCAAACTTGAACGCAACACTTCTCTAGGATAGACCTTTAAGTTAACCAGACAGACTTTGACCTTCATTCATAAATGACCTTGATCTCGAAGGCCAAATTATTCAACTCAAATTGGACATATGGATACATCATGGAGGTCAAGTTCTAATTTGGTCATAGTTTAGTCTGATGACTTTTGACAGACTTTTGCCCCTTGTAGAAATTCCCAACAGTTGTGCAGATTCAACTCAAGTTTGCCATATGGATACCTTAAAGGAATGCTCAGGTCAAGTTCGAATCTGGTTTTGGTCCGATTAGTTATCCTTATTTAACTTAGAAAAAAATAAGAAATTTTCAGTTTCTGGTCAAACTTTTGTAGAAATGTCTGAGGTTGACATTGCATGTGCTGGTATTTAACCAGAAAATACAAGTCAGGTTCTAAATTGGTCATGGTCAGATGTTTTTTGACAGTTATCCCCCTTGAACTTGGAAATTTTTTAAAAAATCACAATTTCTTATTATCTCGGCTACAAATATGCAATTTGCATAAGGTAAACACTGGATAGTTTCAGGGCTTTGAACTTTGTGTAAATATGGTTTGTGTTAACATTGAAAGTTTAAGAGCCTTGAACTTAGATTGAAAAAAATGGTTTATGCAAACAAATTTGGAACTAAATATTATAACATTTGAAATTTTGGCTGCATGCATTTATGGCCCTCTTGAAATTAAAAAAAAAAATTCAATTTTGGTTTATTATCTCCCCAACAGTTGTACACATTCAACACAAATTTAACATATGGATATGTCATAGGAATATGCAGGTCAAGTTTGAATTTGGTCATGGTTTGATGATTTAGACAAAGTTATCGTTCTTGAGCGTTGGAAATTTGAAATTTTCAGTTTCAGCACTCTTACTTTTGTGGAAATGTATGTATATGTACTGTAAAGACTGTCTTAGTGACCCCCTGTATATAGTGACGTTCTGTCTTTAGTAACCATAGTTAGGTGCGCTGAACCTTTTTTACTATATAAATGGTCTGTATGTAGCGACTCTGTCTAGTCTGTACAGTGACCATGATTTAGTCTCCCGTTATGGTATATTAGCCGTGCAAAGCGACTTTTGCAAATGGAGTAACTCGAATGGGGTTACCAAAAAAAAAAAGGTTATAAGAAATTAAAATTAAAGCATATCAGAGGCATAATGGGGCTTTTAGGAAATAAGAAAGTGAAATCAAAAGATGAGGGAAGCAGGGCAAAAATAAAAGTTAAGGACATAAGAAGCTGAATATTACGGTTTGGGAAACCAGAATGTGTACATAAAAAGAAGTTTAACTAAAGGTTTCAAACAAATTAAACATCATTTTCTCCCAACAATTTTTAATAAATGTACAGAATCCTAAACCTTTATTCATTTTTAATCTACTATAATGTGTTTTCTTTTAGATCTTATTCAGGGTTGCCAGCGGACTTGAAAAGTCAGGGAAATTAGGTATTTTTTCAAGGTCAGGGAATTGTCAGGGAATTTTGAAATTTGGTCAGTGAAAAATGAAAATCGTGAAAAGTCAGGGAAAAATTATTTCAAAGGTCGAAAAATATACGCATTGAAGGTCTTTCTTGGCAGTTATGGCAGTCTTTAGGCATTTAATATTTGACTTTATCACTCTCACAGTTAGGCATTAAATTCAAATAACAGTAAACTATGATATTAAGAAGCATTATATGTTAACTTAGTGATTATAATACCCATTATTTACCTTAGAACATCATTCAGCCTAAAGACTGAAAAGCTTTGCAGCCCTTGCCTCCAGAGCTGACTAATACATAATTTCTGTTGCATAATTTAACCAGTTTCCATCATGTTTGCAAGACAAATCCTCTTGTACAATTTCTTAGTGTCAAAGCAAAAAGCAAAGCAGGTTATATGCCAATATGGTAGTTTGGTATACATGTATACTGACTAGATTTTGTTAGTAATTAAAAGCCCTTCTTTGCTTTTTGCTTTGACACTAAGAAATTGTACAAGAGGATTTGTCTTGCAAACGTGATGGAAACTGGTTAAATTATGTGATGCTATGTTTTTCACACTAACTTTTTATGCCCCCGCCATGTAATGGCCGGGGCATATAGTGTTACCCTGTTCCGTCATTCCGTCCTTCCATCCTTCCGTCCTTCCGTCATTCTGTCATTCCGTCATCATCAGTTTCCGTTCATTATCTTAAGAACGGTTGGACATATTCAACTCAAATTTGATATATGGATATGTCATGAGAAAATACAGGTCAAGTTCGAATTTGGTCATGGTTCGATGATTTTTGGCAGAGTTATGCCCCTTTTACTTTGAAAATAATATGAAATTTCAGTTTCCGTTCATTATCTTAAGAACGGTTGGACACATTTAATTCAAACTTGACATATGGATATGTCATGAGAAAATACAGGTCAAGTTCGAATTTGGTTATGGTTCGATGATTTTTGGCAGAGTTATGCCCCTTTTACTTTGAAAATAATATGAAATTTTCAGTTTCCGTTCATTATCTTAAGAACGGTTGGACACAATCAATTCAAACTTGACATATGGATATGTCATGAGAAAATACAGGTCAAGTTCAAAATTTGGTTATGGTTCGATGATTTTTGGCTGAGTTATGCCCCTTTTACTTTGAAAATAATATGAAATTTTCAGTTTCCGTTCATTATCTCCCCAACGGTACAATACAATCAACTCAAACTTGACATATTGATATGTCATGAAAAAATACAGGTCAAGTTTGAATTTGGTCATGGTTCGATGATTTTTGGCAGAGTTATGCCCCTTTTACTTTGAAAATAATATGAAATTTTCAGTTTCCGTTCATTATCTCCCTCAAGGTACAACACATTCAACTCAAACGTGACATATGGATGCGTCAAAGGAATGTGCAGGTCAAGTTCAAATTTGGTCATGGTTCAATGATTTTTGGCAGAGTTATGCCCCTTTCACTTTGAAAGTAATATGAAATTTTCAGTTTCCGTTTATTATCTCCCCAATGGTACAACACATTCAACTCAAATTTGACATATGGATATGTTTTTGGAATGCCCAGGTCAAGTTCAAATTTAGTCATGGTTCAATAATTTTTGGCAGAGTAATGCCCCTTTTACTTTGAAAATAATATGAAATTTACAGTTTCTGTTCATTATCTACCCAACAGTGTCACATATTCAACTTAAATTTGACATATGGATATGTCAAAGGAATGGGCAGGTCAAGTTGGAATTTGGTCATGGTTTGATGATTTTTTGGCAGAGTTATGTCTCTTTCACTTTGAAAATAATTTAGATACATCTTAGGAATAAGCAGTTTAAGTTGGAATTTGGTCATGGTTCAATGATTTTAGACAAACTTATCTTTCCTGAATGTTGGAAAAATTTTGAACTTTCAGTTTCACCACTCATTCTTTTAGCCATTATTTTGGCTACAAATATGCAATATGCTATTTCTAAAAGGTTAAGACTGAATAATTTCAGTGCCTTGAACATTGTATGGAAATGGTTTGTGTTAACATTGAAAAGTTTTAAGGGCTTTGAACTTAAAATGAAAAAAATAATTAATGCACCATCTGAAATTTTGGCTGCATGCGGGGGCATCCGTGGCATGATGACTCATTTCTAGTTTTTACACTAACTTACTTCACTCATTCAAAGTCTTTAATTTTATAGTGATTATTTCATGATATGCCAAAATGAGCCCTATGTTCTTGTTTTCACAATCAGTGGAGTTAATCATGATGCCTTATACAAGTAACTGTGTTAAATGTTTATTGTTTTTATAGTTTAGAGATGTTTGAATTTTAAGTTTTGTCATACAAGTATTACTCTTATAGTCTTGGTGTTTTATGTGTTACTACTAGGAAGGAAAGAGTGACTTATGTGATTTCTAATACAGATGTTTATATTATGATTCTTCTGATTTTCATGTCATATGTTTCACTGACCAACAGTCACACTGTGTTTGAATAGAAATAGTTAAGAATAGTAGAACACAATATTTGAATAATTACTTTGATGTAAATGTTTTATATTTTGGAAAATAAATACAAGTTTACATGCAAAAATATA